AAAAAAAAAAAAAAAAAAAAAAAAAAAAAAAAAAGAAGAAAGAAAAGAAAAAGGTAAGCGCTCAAAATAATTGAAAATTCAAAATCAAATGCTAAACCTAGCAAATATGCCAAAGCTAAGTCCTCGCTGTCTGTGATGGAGAGGAAAAGACTGAAATAGGGGGGGGGAGAGTCCGTCGTTGGGATAGAAGGGGTGCATTATCTCGCCACCCTCCCCTTTCCCTCCAGTCCCAGCTGCTCGAGAAGGGAGAGCTCTGGGAAAGGAAACAGAGCGGAATCGCCCACATTAGCCTCGCTCTTCGTGACCGGGGCGCCTCTGGGCTTGTGTGAGGTCTCCTTTCTAATGCCAGTGACAACGACACTGAGGGTGATTTTGTGTTCCTCCCCCACCCCTTTGCAGGCAACTCTGTAAAGAATTTACGGATCTGCTGGCGCAGGACCGGACGCCAATCGGGAACAGCCGGCCCAGCCCCATCCTGGAGCCGGGGATCCAGAGCTGCCTCACGCACTTCAGCCTCATCACGCACGGCTTCGGCGCCCCGGCCATTTGCGCCGCGCTCACGGCCCTGCAGAACTATCTCACCGAGGCGCTCAAAGGCATGGACAAGATGTTCTTGAACAACACCACCACTAACAGGCACACGTCTGGGGAAGGCCCAGGTAGTAAAACTGGCGACAAGGAGGAGAAACACAGGAAATGAAAAAAAAATTAAAAAAGAAGGAAACATGTTTTAAGTACAAAAGGAAAACAGAAACAAATTTAATTTTAGCTTTAAAATGTTGGATTGGCTTTGGAAGAATTATATTAGGTAGAATACACATACGATCAAAATTTAAAAAAAAAAGAAAGCTAAATAACTTAAAAAAAAAAACTGAGGCGTACAACGGAGCAACAATATCGGTTCTCAGTGTCTATTTCAAGATACACTTGGAGACAACCGTCCGGATTTTCCACTTCGGTTCTTTCGAGCTTAATAATACTGATAATAAAAGAAAACCATGGTTTCCCCCCTTTGGAAAATAAACATAAGACTAAACATGAGAAAACGCTAACTTATTGGAAGAAAATCGGAGAAACGTTGGTGTTAATGCTTTGAGAGCTGTTTGACTGAGACGCACGAACTTTTTAATTTTTAATATTTTTTTAGGAAACTCTTTGACAGTCCCCGCCCTCCACCTCACCTCACCCTCCTCCCAGCCACCCTTTTCTACATGGCCCTCCCTTCCCCACACTGTTACGGGAATCTTCTGGGATGAAAATGAGTGTGGTTAGCTTATTTGCGTTGTTTTAGCCTCCTCAGTCCCCTCCCTTCCCGCCCCATCTCGCGTTCTTAACTCACAGGTGCCCAGCTCCCAGGCCGTTTGCATAATTAGGGAGGGCGAGGGCGGGCGGGGCGGGAGGCGGTTCTTTCGAGCTTAATAATACTGATAATAAAAGAAAACCATGGTTTCCCCCCTTTGGAAAATAAACATAAGACTAAACATGAGAAAACGCTAACTTATTGGAAGAAAATCGGAGAAACGTTGGTGTTAATGCTTTGAGAGCTGTTTGACTGAGACGCACGAACTTTTTAATTTTTAATATTTTTTTAGGAAACTCTTTGACAGTCCCCGCCCTCCACCTCACCTCACCCTCCTCCCAGCCACCCTTTTCTACATGGCCCTCCCTTCCCCACACTGTTACGGGAATCTTCTGGGATGAAAATGAGTGTGGTTAGCTTATTTGCGTTGTTTTAGCCTCCTCAGTCCCCTCCCTTCCCGCCCCATCACGCGTTCTTAACTCACAGGTGCCCAGCTCCCAGGCCGTTTGCATAATTAGGGAGGGCGAGGGCGGGCGGGGCGGGAGGCCTACGGAGTTGCTGGGGGAGGCTACAGCTTTCGGTGCCAGCCGTCGGAGCAGAGGCTCCTGCGGCTGAGGAAAATCCGGACCAATAAGTTGATAAAGACTCACCGTCAGTTCCTTTCAGAAATGTTACTAGTTCCCAGCCTTGCCAGCATCTGCATACAGAGAATGTTGCATTTGTTATACTATTGTGTGTCATCTACCAGTTTTAAGAACTATAGTAAAACAAACAAACAAAAACTCGCTATGAATACGTTGATTAGTATATAATTCCTTCGGAGGGGTATGTACCATTTCATTCTCTTCTGTTTTCCAAAGCTTTGCCCGCATGGTTTATGAGCTTCTTCAAAGAGGACTTGGGCTACCTACACAATCTATAAGGTACAGAGAAAAAAAAAATCCGATCCCTTTTTAATCAAAGCCTGTGTGTCAGAATTCCGCAGGTGCACTTCTTTAAAGAAGCTCAAAGGGAATAATTTAGAAAGTGGCCAATATGAGGGAGGCCGCTTTGAATCTACTTGCTAACATAGCTCAACACTGGAATTCCGGCGGGGATGGGGGGCTGTAAAAATGGATTTAAGGAAGAAGAAGGAGGATTCTTAGAGCCCTATATTCTAATAGTATTGCCCTGCCTTTAAAATGGATTTGATATCCGTGGACTTTCTGGCGATTGATGTTTTAACCGGGAAGGAAACAGCTTAGCCAGTGGATGTGGGGAGGAGGGTGTCCCAAGCCCCTGAGTTTCTGCAACACTTGCTTTCTTACAAGACGTTTTATGAATGAGGCATTTTCCCTCCCAGACGTGCACTTGTTTTGGCATATAATGGCAAAATAATGCAAAGTGAAAGGAGATGTATTTCATCTTAGAATTTTATCATCTGGATACACTGGAAATAGTCCCAGTGGATAAAGTTACATGCACGTAATATTTCTCACTTCTAGTAGCCTAGCTTCTTTCTTGGGCTCCATCTTAACATTATTGTAAGGATCTGGGACCGATTGGCGCCTACCTTCCCCCAAACAGTGAGAAATCCGGGGAGGTAGGAAGGTCTCTAAATTTAGCTAGACGCATGCACCTCTTAACAAAGTAGACAGAATCTTTGCTACATTCTTTGAAGATAAAGATCCAGATGTTCTGCAAGGTTTACAGTTGGGACCCAATCAACCTCCTCAGAGTTTCAGTTCTGCCACCCCCCCCCCTTTGGCCTTGGGGCGTTGGGTTTTAGGAACCTGCTGAGAACTTGCTCAGTCTTTTTTGATGGGGAGGAATGAGACGTTGGAGAGCTAGTTTGTCACCAGGAGGGCCCAAACAATGGTTAAGGTCACAGAGCAGCCCATTCCTCCCCTCAGCTCCGTTGGGAGCCACGGAGTTTGCAAGTCCCAGCCCAAGATGTGTTGAGAGGAATACAAAGGCTGGGAACTAGATGCCAGGGAAAATGTAGATATTCCCATCTCTCCCCACCTCAGAAGCCTACGCCTAGGTCCAAGGGCCTGGCCACTTGCAGTAGATGTATTCTGATTGCAAAAGGCCAGGAGAAATCGCACTGAAAAATCATCGTCTCCTTTCCTTGCAGGGCAACGCGCCCCACGCGTGTGACGTTCGAGAGACGCGATGGACGCGCCTTGCTCTTACTGTGCAGGTCCTGAGAGCGTGTGGGCCTCTCGCGCCCAGTGGTGTTGAGGACATAGAATCAGCAGCTGGAAGGGCCGCCGGCCGCTCGGGCCCTTCCACTCTCCGTCTCCCCCTAA